CAAAATGATTTCCAAGGTGAGGTCATGATTTCATCTGAGTCTGATAGCCATGGTGCTCAACAACTCTATTAGACTCTCCAAAGAACACGAGACACATTTGTCACCTGTGGAAGTTCAGCGTCCAGCACCTGTTATCATTTAATCAAAGGGAATGGCCTGAAAACTTACGGCCTGATACAGATAAATCGATTCGCACTAAATAAAGTTAACAGATAGATGATGGATTGAGAGAAGGTCGTTCCTGTTTGACCTATTCAGCTGCACACCTTACGAGCACAGCAGACAACAATGACCTTTACCTCAACTGCCCCTAACCTTCCAGTCTAGAAACAAAACAAAAAAAGTAAGACAAGCAAAAGTGGAACAGTACCTCTGTAACACTTCCCTGAATACTTGATTTGCGGCATCCAGCGGTCAAACATTATTCCACGGCGGTAAAGTCAGTTTGATGTTTGACATTCATTAGACATTAGGTTTTTTTTTGCCAGTTAAACTCTTTGCGGCTGTTATGTTTTGAGCCCAAACTAACTCAGATAGACATAAACATATGCCCTTTACGTTGCACAAGGCTTAATTTCTAGGAAAAAAATGTAAAAAATTAACCATTTAAATTAATTAAACAATACGTGACATTATAATATAAAACCAATACTAAAATGTGTGGAAAAACATCCCTGTTATTGCACAAAGCTCCGTTTTTGGAATTACCATTTTGTGTGTTTTAGAATAATTTGACAACTTTTAATGTATGCAATAATATAAATCCATTAAACGACAACACCATTTGATCTAAAGGTATCAAACCAACTATAAAATATTCAAAATATTATTCCCTATAATGCACAAGGCTTGGTTTTTCAGATTGTGTCTTTATTATTTTTATATACAGTACTGAATCCATATTTCTCATGTTTTATATACTGTACCCACTTTAATTCAACTCTGACACCGTTTGAGATAAAGGTATCAAAACAACTGTAAAATATTCAAAATATTATTCCCTATAATGCACAAGGCTTGGTTTTCCAGATTATGCCTTTATTGTTTTTATATACAGTACTGAAACCATATTTTTCATAAGTTTTATATACTGTACCCACTTTAATTCAACTCTGACACCGTTTGAGATAAAGGAAATGCACAATTGAGTTTAGAGCTGTCCATTTGTTTATGTAAAAACAATAATTTGTTTATATTTATTTTTTTCGGTTTAAAATAATACATTGGTTAAATTATAAAATAATATTATCTCAAATCAAGTAGCCTTCCTATTTAATTTTTGATGGGTAGAAAGATAATGTACAGACAGCTGGTCATTATTACAAAATAGAAGTGGTATTTTTGTGAATAACCAGCTGTATTATCTCATATGAATAATATGAGTTTTCAAAAGCTCCCTTTTATCTGGGTGTACTCAGAAAGAGACGCTTGACCAGGTGAAGAAACAGGCTCTCTCTTAAACTTTTCTAATGAAATTCAGTAAAGGAATGTGAGAAGCCATGGGATCTTTTCATCCTAAAATCCCAATGCTACGGTGCTCTAACCTCTTCAATAATTCAATCAAACCCTTAAATATATACATTTAGAATTGAATTCCCTCTGAAACCACTCACAATAAGAGGAGACTGACTTCGAGACCATATGCAGTGAAGGGAGAACTTAGTCTCTATTTGATTTAGAATAACTGAATCTTCTCTGCGCCGTCAATTTGACAAATAAATGTAACATCATAAGCCTTCATATATCATTCAAGAAACAAGACATGTGGAGAGCAAAAAGACAGAATTTGCACTTAACCGAGCTTTTAAGAAAACCGAAAGGTCAAGTTTTCCCACAAGAATAACCCTTCAGTTTTACTCCATAATCACGTCTTTGCTTTTGAAGAGAATCTGACAAGGAGCACAACTGACATTCAACTAAAATAAAAATTCATATTATACAGCACAGAGCAAGATTATATATTAAGGCGTAATCTATTTCAACATCGCAACAGATCACTGATACTTGAAAAATCAAGTAGGCAAGATGCACAGGGAAATTCAATACGTTGAGACTTCTCTGGAAAGAAACTAAGGTAACACTTTCTATGAAACCCATATTTATAATACATTATAAGCGTATTCTTAAGGCATTATAATGAATGAATAATGCATTATAAAAAAACGTATAATATGCTATATAATCTTATGATTATTCATAAGAACAGTTTTAATGTTTTATAATATTTACTTATTTGTGGTTATAGCTTTTAAGAGTAGGCTATGATGATTTATAACACACAGTGAACATGTTGCATCCACTTAAGTTACAATGGATTATATTTCTCATAGTTATGTGTTATAAGTCTCATATCTTGCCATCTTTTTTATGCTACTTAAAGCAATCAAAGACCACTTATAAGAATAGTAATAATAATAATAATTTTTTCTCTCAAACAGCCATAAGATCAGATCACACCTAACCACTTACAAGATGTAGTAAGATACTGTGCAGATCTTAAATAAACAATGTCAAGATATATAGTCCATTATAAATGTAAAAGTAGATTTAATATGGTGTTCATTGTGTTATAAATAATCATAATCTTAAAAGTTATAACCACAAATGCGTAAGCATTATAATGTATTATAATTGTTATGATTATTTATATGATATAACACATTTTTTTTTTTAAATAATGTATTATGCATTCATTATAATGCCTTAAGAATACCCTTATAATGTATTATTATAGTGTGTTAAGTATAAAGTGTTATCACATATACTCTCACCCCCTCTTCATTTATACATTGTCCATACTTGAATGACCCTTAAAAGGGCAACATTTTTCAGGAAATATAAACTTGGGTCGCAACAAAGCCATAGAAAATCCATTGCAAATCTAAAAAGAAATTGTGTAGGGTTTCTCAAGTACAGTTTTTCAAAGTCATTTCAAACATTCCTGTAGTAAGTGGGTCACAAAATTACATATATATATAAAAAATATATATATTAAATAAAATATCAAAAGGTACAAGTAGACAAGGTTCATCAGAGAAGAGGCAAAAAGTCAAAGGACTGGGGCTAGTTATCACACTTTTTCTCCAGTGAATACTTCTCTATTATTGAAAGTAAATTTCAAAGCCTTGGCCATAGTTTTCCTTGAACATTTCCACCGTTATTGATTAGAAAAAACAACACATTAAACATTTTCGTAACTGACTTTTGAATCGAACCCTCAAGAGTTACGGAGATAAAGCCCTTGTGATGAGTGGAAGCTGATTTGGGATAAAAGTGAAGTCAAAATCAAGTGCAGGGACTAGCAGTTCAAACCTTTCTTTTTAATGAGCTCTCCTGGCTCTTCGGAAAAGGTAATTGGCTAAAACGTGGGGAGGAACTCACCTGCTGGGAAAGTTGCTCTGCAGCTTTTAAATGGAAATGCTACTTGCTGTCACACGAGCATACACACCTGAGTTAACACAGAATTCCCCACATACACAGTGAGGTTCAAAAAGCTGGGATCACACTGAAAATGTAGGTAAACATTATAAAGACTTTCAAAAATTAATATTAAAGGGTTAGTTCACCCAAAAATGAAAATACTGTCATTAATTACTCACCCTCATGTCGTTTCAAACCCGCAAGACCATCGTTCATCTTTGGAACACAAATTAAGATATTTTTGATGGAATCTGAGAGCTGTCTGACCCTGCATAGACAGCAATACAACTGAAATGTTCCCAAGTCCAGAAACGTAGCAAGGAGATCTGTAAAATAATCCATGTGACATCAGGGGTTCAACCGTAATTTTACGAAGCTACGAGAATACTTTTTGTACGGAAAAAAACAACAACAACAAAAAAACTTTATTCAACAATTCGTCTCCTCCCTCTTTTCAGGATGCTTTGATGAACAAAGTTCAAAAGAACAGCATTTGAAATAGAAATATTTTATAACATTATAAATGTCTTTACTGTCAGTTTTGATGAGTTGAATTTTGATTGTGTATCACAATTTCCACATAAACATTAAGCAACTGTGATAATAATAATAATAATAATTTTTCTTGAGCACCAAATCAGCATATTAGAACGATTTTTGAAGGATCATGTGACATTTAAGTTGGCTGCTGAAAATTCTGCTTTTCTGTCACAGGAAAAATTACATATTAAAATATAATAAAATAGATAAGTTATTTTAAATTGTAATAATATTTCAAAATATTACTGTTTTTAGTGTATTTCTGATCAAATAAATGCAGCCTTGGTGAGCATAGACGTCTTTCAAAAACAATAAAATAGCTGAATTATTCCAAACTTTTGGCCAGTATAGTGTAAATAAATAAAAAAAACGTGATCTCAGTCTTTTGGAGAAACAAAGGACTATTGGAAAACAAAACTTTACCTAAATAACAACACTGCAAACAATTTCAGGCCATCTTTCATTGATTCCCTCTTTGATTTCCAATTTCTGCAGCTTGCACCTAACCCAGGCTTTCTCACTTCTACGCTTTAAAACACTCCCACTACAACACACTTTCCCTTACTTAAGTATTTAAAAGAATATCACGTACTTGACTCTTTTACACCTATATTTCAGTACTAGCTGATACATGGCCAACTTTGAAACTTTGTATTGCTGCACTTATCTCCTTATGAACTGCTTGCACTGTAGCATTCCTTTTGTAGACTGCACTGAATAAAAACTACCAAATGAATATATGTTACAGTACACACTGTCAATTTCACTCATGCATCCTTAATTATAAATGTCATAAAACAATGAAAATAGTTATGGCCCTGGAAGCTGACCGGTCACTACAACACTTTATCTGTGCTACAATACACACAGATTTAACACTCAATTTATATAAAGGCAAAAGGTACTATAAAGGTGCCGTATTGTGAATATAGTCAAAGCTAAAAGGTTTATAGCTGTGCATTTATTGTAAAATTAAAAAAAAAAATTATATGAATAGGAATGTGAAGATCAGAAAAAAAATCGATACAATTAAGTCAAAAAGCTAGATTTGCATTGTGGTTTAAAGAAAAAATGTCTAAAACTTAATGTTAAACTTAAAATGTTAATTTAATCTAAACAACATCACAAGTGTACAAGTGTATACAATAATAATAATGTGCAATAATAAATATTATTCAATACCATTATTGTAAGAAAGAAATAAAAAAATGCAGCACTTTCCAATAATAAATCTAACTCGTCTGAAAAAATGTGCTGAATAAAACAGCAGGTGGTAACTTTTCAGGGCTTTAGAGAGAATCTGAGCAAGTGCTGCTCTTTAAAAAGGTAATTTCAACATTGCTCCGTCTAAGTGAAACTGTTCTTTGACAGAGCAGACGACAAATTTAAAATCCATAAGCGAACTCTGAAATGAGCCATGCGAATCTTAAAAGGTTTGCTGTGTCACTCACTTTACCACTTTTTGTCTGATATTTTGCATGGCAAGAGCACATGCATCAGAATCCAACTTTATATTCACGAAACACATACTCTGAAATCAAAGCCGTAAGTATGCTCTGATGTAGGTGTTCTTTTGTTCGTTGTTTTTTCCTTAAGTCCTTCAATCATTTCAATCACCTTCTCTGCAATGGAGGACTCTATTTTTAAAGTCCTGCAGACGGTCGCTGGTTATTGCCTCCCGGAGCGCTTTGAAGAAGCCAAGGTAATGCGCCATGTTGTGTAGCATGAGTAAAACACCACCGAGCAGCTCGTTGGTCACCAGTAAATGATGAACATACGCTCTCATATGCTTTTTACAGCAGTAGCAGCTGCAGCCCTCCACAAGTGGGCGGAAATCATCTTGATACCTGAAAGGCAAACACAGTGTTATGAGGCTAATTGTCACACCAGAGTATGTTTAATGGAATTCAATTCAAGTACTTTTAAGTGCAAAATATAAAAATAATTTTATGGACAAATCTGCCATACAACAAAATGCATAAAAAAATTACTGAAATTTATTTGATATATATAAATATATATCAAACAAACCTAATATTTAAATAAATATATATCCATTTTTTGCTGCGGTGCCCGGGGAGCAGTTGGGGGTTCGGTGCCTTGCTCAAGGGCACCTCAGTCATGGTATTGAAGGTGGGAGAGAGAGCCGTACATTCACTAAAATATCATATTAAATGTACAAATATATCAATGCTTGTTAAGAAACAGTAATATTAATCTGTGTTAAGTTTGTTTTATTCAGTATAAAGGCATTTCATATATCATTACTCCTGCTCGTGTATACAGGACGCTTTTATACGGCACTGGTTTGAGACATGGGTGTGGGGGGATTGGAAATCTTTTTGTTTAATATCCTTCATCGCTCCTTTGACCACTAATCTGATCTGACTCTAGTGATAGAGGCAATATTATGAAAATGCACTCAGAACCGAGTATGAATTACTGACATATTGCATTTATTTATCCTCATATCCAAGCTGAGGTGATTGAGATCATGAAAGATGTGCAAGAAAGCATTAGATGTGTATGAAAGCATTAGTAGTCTAATCTGATATGAGCAAATGAATACACACAGCTGTTACGGGTACATCCTTGTCTCCCTCTATACATACACACCTTTTATCTTTGAGGTTCATTTCGTAAGGCGTCATATTTTCATCTCCATTTGAGTTTAGCTTCTTGACAGCAGGCATCTCTCCATTGAATTCCAACACTGTTTCAAACATATAAAACATGATTAAACATTCAGCACAACTGCTTTACATACAGTTGTGGTCAGACTTATTAGCCCCCTTTGGTAAATATGAGCAAAGGCGGCTGTGAAAACAAACCCACATTGCTTATCTTTTCGAACTTTCACTCAAAAAAAACAAAAAAACATCACATTATAAAATAAATGTTTTTCTCCAATACACGTTGGCCACAATTATTAGCACGCCTAGAAATTCTTAAGTATTTTCCCATTAATATTTACATCTTTTAGCACAAGGTGACTAAGATCATGAAATTGTTCAGCAATGACTTCCTGTTTCACAGGAGTATAAATATGAGAAACACAAAGGCCAAATTCCCTTAATCATTCATCACAATGAGAAAAACCAAAGAATATAGCTCTGAAGTGCAGCAAAAGATTGTTGAGCTTCAAAATAGAAAGTGGCTGTAAGAAAATAGCTAAAGAACATCCTGTTCAGATAGATGGCATCATAGATTCTAACAAATACCAACAGATTTTAAAAAATTCACATAAAATCAAATAAATCACATTACGGGCTGTGGTTGGATCTTCCATCAGGACAATGATCCAAAACAAACATCAAAATCAACCTTCTCTGGAGAGATCTGTATGGAAGAAAGGTCTCTGCTCTCTTGCCATGTGTTCTCCAACCTCATCAGTCATTATAGCAGAAGATTCAGAGCTGTTATTTTGGCAAATGAAGGTTGCAAAAAGTACTAAATAAAAAGGAGGCAATAATTGTGGTCAATGAAGAAAACATTTATATCATAATGCGATTTTTACCCCATTTTCAATTGTTTTACTACAATGAATGGTTAGATTTTTTGTGAATTTTAATTCACAAAATAATAATTCCAATCACAACTGTACATATTTCATGACTAGATCATGAAAGTAGTGTATTTTTCATGTCTGGTGGGAACATGCCAAAGGAACATTAAACTGAGGAACCGTAAAGTCAAAACTGGTCTGCTTGATGTGGAGTCAAGACATCTCTAGATGAATATGAGGAAAAAGGGTGCTGGCTGTGAGAGAAAAGCAAGAAATTTGGATGATAAAAGAAAAGAGGAACTCAGAGCTATAGAACAAACGTACTGTCAAATCAACAGTTTGGAATGTCTTGAAAAAGAAAGAAACCACTGGTGACTTCAGCAATCGACAATAACAAGGTTGCCTTGTCATTACAGCTGATGACAGACAAATAACAAGAGCTGTGAAAAAGAACCCTAAAATAAGTGTCATTAAAATCACCAACAACCTCCAAAAAGCTGGGGTGATGGCCTCAATCTACTGTTCACATAGTAAGATGCAAACCTCTGATCAGCACCAAAAATAGAAGGGCCAGATTAGAAACTGCAAAAAATGTGAGCCAGTCAAGTTTTTGGAACAGTTTTATGAATTTATATATAAGTCAAAGATTACATTTTATCAAAGTAGCAAAAGTTTGGAGGAAAAAAGGAACTGGAAATGCAAACCTAAGCATAAAACCTCATCTGTAAAGCATAGTGGAGGTAGTGCCATGCATTGCTGTCTCTGGAACAGGTTCACTTAAAGGGGTCATATGATGCTGCTAAAAAGAACATTATTTTGTGTCTTTGGTGTAATGAAATGTGTTTATGTTCAAGTTATGTCTTTGCAACTTTACAGATCTTCTTTATGCACCAAGAGCTTGTAACACTCCAAAGAGAAAGGAAAAATTGAAATCGCATCATATGACCCCTTTAACGAATTATGGTGGCAGAGCAGAATGAATGCAGAAGTGTACAAAAGCATCTTGGCTACAAATGTTCAAAATCCCACCAGACACATTGGGAGGTGCATCAAATTGCAACAGGACATTGACCCAAAACACACTGCCAATTCAGTCAAGGAGTTTATCAGGGCAAAGAAATGGATTGGCCAAGTCAATCTGCAGATTTAAATCCAATCAAACATGCATTTCACCAACTGAAGAGGAGACTAAAGACAAAAACTCCCTAAAACAAGCAACAGTTGAAAATGGCTGCATTAAAGGTTTGCAAAGCATTTCAGTCACACTTTATTTTAAAGGGGTCATATGATGTGATTTCAAGCTTTCCTTTCTCTCTGGAGTGTGACAAGCTGTTCGTGAAAACATAAGATCCCTAAAGTTGCAAAGACTAAAGTCTCAAACCCAAAGAGATATTCTTTATAAAAGTTAAGACT